TGTATGTGTGTGTGTGGTGTATGTGTGTGTGTGGTGTGTGTGTGGTGTGTGTGTGTGTGGTGTGGTGTGTGTGTGTGTATGTGTGTGTGGTGTGTATGTGTGTGTGTCTGTGGTGTGTATGTGTGTGTGTGTGGTGTGTATGTGTATGTGTGTGTGGTGTGTATGTGTGTGTATGTGTGTGTGCTCAGCTCAGAGGACAACTTGTGAAGACAGCTCTCTTTTACCAGGGGGACCTCGGGACCAAACTTAGGTCAGCTTCATGGCACATCTGGGAACTTCTTGGGTGAACTCACACTCACGAGCCTCTGGTGGATGATGATGTCACTCCCTAGGCCCTAACATCCTTCTCCTGCGGCTTTAGAAGGAGGTGTGCGTTGCCCTGGTGTCAGGCGGCTGTTAAGGAGGGAAAGGATGCAGCACTTCTTCGCTAACACACCTTCCACATCATTTTCAGGTCTCAGCTCTTCTCTCCTTCCTCTTCCAGCGAGTACACAGGCTGGTGTCAAACGTCAAACCCTCCTGCCTGTGCTCCGGTATGCTGATTCCAGAGCACATGATACCACATGCCCTGGAGGGACCCTCACCTTAATATGCGACCTTCAAGAATATTTTCCATGATCATAAACACTCGGTGAAAATACTAGAAACAAGACTTTTAGTTTTGTTTCTCCTCCTCCTCCTCTTCTTTTTGTTCCTTGTTCCTCCTTCCTCCCTCCCTTCCTCCTCCTCTTCTTCTTTTCAAGACAGGGTTTCTCTGTGTAGCTTTGGAGCCTGTCCTGGATCCCACTCTGTAGCCCAGGCTGGCCTCGAACTCACAGAGATCCGCCTGCCTCTGCCTCCTGAGTGCTGGGATTAAAGGCTTGTGCCACCACTGCCCAGAAATAAGACTTTTAATTCTATCCCTGGCATCTCATCCTTAGACATGAACCTAAAGAAACCCACACTGTCACCCAAGTTACTTCAAGTCAGTTCTGCTGGACCAGGGCCCTCAGAGTACTTTTAAGTCAGTGCCACCTGACCAGCGCCCTCAGACTAAAGAGTTTTTCTTTTCCAGATTGTTACATCTTGTCAATCAGGCAAAAACAGGGTCAAGACTGAAGTCTAAATTTTAGGCTATTTTGAGGCTTTATTTTTTTTCTAAGTCCATTTGGGATATAAGACTGCTAACAGTTGTGAAATCAGTCTTAAATGAACTCTTTAGTAATATATCTTTTTTGCCAAATTCTCTGTAAAACTGATAAAAATAAGAAAATATGCGTTTTTGAGAAGGGGTCTTACTATGTAGTAACTCTGGCTGGCCTACAACTCTGTAGCTCAGTGTGGCCACTAATTTCCAGCGATCCATCTCTCTCCACCTCCAGAGTTCTGGGATTGAAGGTGTGTGCCACCATGCCTGGCAAACTGATAATGTGCTAATTTAGAAAAAATAATGGAGCCAGGTTTGGTGGCCCACGTCCATAATCCCCAGCTCCTGGAAGGTGGAGGCAGGTGTTCAAGGCCAGCCTCTGCAACTTTGTACTTGGGCTATGTGGAACTGTTACAAGAAAGGAATACAATAAAGTTACTTAGTAAAAAGATCAAAAGGATGGCCAGGCGGTGGTGGCACACGTCTTTAATCTCAGCACTCAGGAGACGGAGGACACAGATCTCTGAGTTCAAGGCTAACCGGGTCTACAACGTGAGTTCCAGGACAGCTGGGTTTATACAGAAACCCTATCTCAACTAAAACCAAAACCAAACCAAACAAAAAAGATTAAAGCTGAACTAAAAGCTGCAGTAACATTTTAATCAAAACTCTTCACAGCCGGGCGGTGGTGGTGGTACACACCTTTAATCCTAGCACTCGGGACGCAGAGGCAGGCAGATCTCTGTGAGTTCGAGGCCAGCCTGGTCTACAGAGTGAGATCCAGGACAGGCACCAAAACTACACAGAGAAACCCTGTTTCGAAAAACAAAAACAAAAAAACCAAAAACAACAACAACAACAAAAAAAACCCAAAAAACCCAAAAACAAAAACCCTCACCACAATGTTAAAACCCTGGCCCCACACCATTTTAAAGGGCAAATTTTATTGTCAATTACATCTGAAGAAAAAAAAATGGCAAAAGAATAATAAAGATTAATACACACACATATGGCATGTAAAAGAACAACACATGGGAGGCAATTTGTCTGCACCGGTCCTCGCCGGTCTCGGGTCTCTCAGGGATGGTGTCCTGTGCAAGCAGGACAGTCGATGCGGGAGCAAGCTCGGCTTCCAAAACCACCGAGCACGGAGGGGTGGCCCCACGCAGCCAGCACCCGCGGGCGCGGCGGCCCTCCCGCTCCGGGGGCCTTCGGAGCCTGGGCCGCGTCAGG